TCGTTACGGTTGAGTGAATCAGCTGACTCCCTGTCTAGTGCAAATTTCCGAAATAAAAACTGGGCAAATCGTTATTTTACACATAATTGAGACATTTTCATAAGTGAAAACCCATATAAATGAAAAGAACGGCCAAATTTACATTAGAATATCTAAAGTTTGACACGATTTTTTATGGGGTTACCGAATGCAAGCCTTTGAAAGTCGGTACATTTTAGGAAATTCCCTATCTTATAACACTAGCTCAAAATCCTGTAGCACCAGGGTTTTTTTTGGGACCCAGTTCACGAGCCTCGTTTTCGAATACCGCGCTCCAAAATCGAGTGCCGTCACCGTCGTTGTGGTCACCCATCCCTCTATTTTAAATTTAAAATTAATTATTTCATCCCCGCACCCCACCCTTTAAAAGAAAACGTCCCAGACAGATATTTTAAAAACTAATCAAATTATATGAATGAAACATTCTTGAAAGCTTAACCAAGTTACCCGGAAGAAATTATAAAATGTTTGTGACGATCCAAATTCAGGTGTGCATTTAAAGGCCCAAAGGTCCCAGACCTAAATATCTCGAAAATTGATCAATGGATACATAATTTGACAATTTGAAAAACAGTTTGTCGTGTTTTAATGAAGAAATTTTTAAATTTTCGTCCGAAGTAGGGTGTGGATATGAGGACCATTTGAAGAATAAGTTTACCGTATACCGTCAGATAACATTAGCTGTGTGATGAATATTGAAATCAGTGCAACTACAGTTAATCTGTACAGCGTTTTATATGTACTAACTTAATTTTTTAGGAAATAATTTGGAATATCTTTAATACAGCTTTATATATCAACATGTGATGCTAAGAACCATTGACTATTTGCATAATATTTCCATTTCAACACCAATACTGGCGTGTATTATTTTGTCAACTAAAAAAAATAAAAATAAAATATTCCCGTGTATTTACCAGAAGAAGTAAGGAATTGGCAGGTATACCACTAATACATAAAGGCCTAGGGGTTTCTGGTTAGTTGGTTAGAGCATTTTTAAAGTAGGTGGTGGTTGGAGAGTGGGTTCTCACTATTTTTTTTTACAGTTTCAGTAGTTGAAAATGAAATGTTTCAATACTATATGTTGCTTAGATTCTGTGTTCAAGACGTAACATGTGTAGTGACAAGCAGGCCGAACGTGAATTTTTGTGAAACCATTTCGGATTAAAAAACCTCAGAATAGCCATTTTAAAAAAAAGTCCCCAAAAACCTATATTAAAAGTTAAAATAGTGCCCCTCTTCAAAATAAAGTGTTTGGGCAAGTTACTGTGGTTTTGGAGTGGAGCGAGGTGAGGTGGGGTGGTATTGGTGATTGTTGAAATAAAAAAGAAATTATTATGATTAATATTATTATTATTATTATTATTATTAATATTGTTATTAGTATTTTATAATCAATATTAATAGGTAGATTGTTATCAATTAAAATACGTGTATTGTGGCAGAATGAATCGTCACCAATGCTTTAAACTTACATACAAATGTGGAGAAAGTTGCAATCATCGTGTCTCCTACAACCACGCACACTATTGTAATATGTGCAAATATTGAGGTCGCCTTGATTGAAGCACATTTGGGACAAAATGCATTGTGGGTCAACCTTGTCCAAACTATGCTGACGTAGGAAAGCAGTGTTACTTGGAGATGAGAGATCGTGAAGAAAGTTGCATTGTGTGCCTTTCGAACACCGCCCTATAAAAAATAAAGAGATAAAATACACAAATACACTTACTAATGATATTACTGAAAATTTTGGTATCTTGCATCAAGAAACTTCACAATTAATATTTTACAAACATGATTTTTAAAAAGTACTATTTATTATTTCTGCTTTAAATAAAATTGCAGTAATTTTATGGTGAGTATTGAGCAGCTTTTTTCAGAAAATCAAATTCGTCCAATTTTCAAATTATTGTAAACAAAGCTACAATACTTAGATATAAAAAAGTATTAAATTTCAGAATAACATATAGATCTTCAATTAAAGAGAGTAGGCCAAACTACCATTTAAAAAAGAAAATATCCCAATAATTTTCTTTAGAAGGCTGGTGACAGTCGTTTTTGACAAGCCTTGGTGTTGAAATGGATGACAAACAAAACAAAAACATTATATGCCCCCCCCCCCCGTCGGGGAAGCATATCCCCCCAGTCGGGGAAGACGATAAGTTTGTCGGGGAACAAAGAAATTTAAAAAAAATATTTACATGTAATATTCGTTTAGCCACCATATTGTTTGTGTTAACTTTTCATCACAACAACAACAATGACAATAACAATAATAATAATAATAATAATTCAATGAGACTAATTAAAAATAATTTGCGTTCTGTTATGACAAATGCTCATTTAGATAGCCTCATGATGGTTGGAATACATCGTGGTAGGTGAAGCAACCTCGACCATGACAGCGTGGTTGACAGATTTCATGAAAAATTTCCAAAATACAAAATTTCACTTTCAAGAATGAGGATTTGAAAATAAATTAGATGGTTAAATTGCATACTCTTTGTTTCTTGTTTTATTCAAAATGTTTTGGTTTTGGAAGCTGATTTCAACATTAGAAAGCATAGCCTACATGAAGTCATATTATAGTAACTCGATGCCTATCAAATAAGTAATAAAAAATCGCCATAATTCATCAAATATCCGTGTCTTCCCCCACCAGGGGCCCTGTGTGTCCCCCTGGCCTCCAGCTAAGTGAGACTAGATTCGCTCTACTAGCCTCCCCCCGTCGGGGCCTTTAGCCCCTCCGTCGGGCAGGTCCTGGCGCCATCCATCCATCGTAATCACCATATCCTAAGGCGTAGGTAATCATGATGTGCCACACTCTTTCTTTTTAGCTTTCTCTATTATCCCCGCCTCATGATATTCAACACCTTTTTCTCCTAACCATTAAACTGTTCACCCGTCTTCTTTCCCTGCTCCTATTCACTTTATACTTCCAGTGAAGCCCAGGCTTTCTAAACCATCCTTATAA